GTTCCGCGCCCCCGCTGCTCCTTCGCAGCTGCAGCCCGGGAGCTCCGAGCACACACACGGCTTTTATTCTCCCTGTGAGGATGCTCGGGCTGGAGAGAAAACACAACGCTCCATTTCCTTACAGGAAAAGCAGGTGCGCACGTTATTCCCGAAGAAGCAAAGCCGAGCCTAAAGCGAGGCTTAGGAAATAAAGCTTCCAGGCGCTGCGTTTAAGAAAACGGCGTTATTTTCAACTTTACGTTTAAGAACGAGAACTCCCGACCTGGGCTCCAGCGAGGCTTGCTGCTGAGCAAAACGATGGCGTAAAACAACTTTCTCCTTCCTCCGCGCGATATACGGACGCGGGGATCTCCAACGCAGCCCAGATGGGGGAAAGAAGCAGAGCCGGAGGTTTCAGTTTTATTAAGTTTTAGGCGAGTTCTAAAGTATTAAGTTGTGTCTTGCAAACCCGTTAACGCTGCCTGGTTTAACGGGATTTCAATTCGTCGGTGCGGGACCCTGCGTAAAACACAGTTTTATGGGGTTCAGTATGAAACTGTTCTAATTCTATTTATGAATAATGACAGAAAAGGGAAAACCCTCGGTAAATCCATCCCGGTACATTTTCTTCTGGCCCTGACACCCCCCCCCCAAAAAAAAAAAAAAAAAAAGCAGTAGGGCGTGTTTTATTTACGCGAGTAGTTCCCTCGCACGAGGGGAAGGGGATACAACACCCAACTCTGCCCCTCTCATTTGTACAATAAGCTTTTTCATTCCAAAAGCGCTACGGGCAAAGCAGAGCTGCCACTCCACCGGACTCACGTGCGCGCTTAATGTTATACAAGGGGAATCAAGCGAGGTGTAAATTTAAGCACACGTACAAGTTTGCTGGATCACAGCCTAACCTACAACTCTGAGAGTAAGAGGAACAGACCAGAACCCTTAATTCCGCCCGGGGACGGAGAAGCGATACAAATTTAGCCGTGCCAGGCTACAGCAGCGGGATAAGCCGCTTACCACCGAAATTCGACCAACTTCCAAACGGTCACAGAAATAATTGTCATTAAAACATGTCCACGTTAGTGGGAAGCGAGGAGTATTCTCAGATCGGCCTTTCTTTGTAGAAAAACTGTCTTTGCCTCCACGTCAAGGTCAAAGCCACTCCTGTGTTAGGGGAGGGAGGAAGACTCGAAGCCCACCTCAGCGAAGAAGAAATGAGAATCGCCAGTATTAGGTGACAACGGAGCAAAGCAGGTGTGACAGAAACACCACGAATGCCCCGTTAAGGAAAATTATAGCGCAAACAGCACCCACGTCCTGCGGCGCTCAGCTTTTCGGTGAGAGTTGTTAAAAACCCAGCAGGCAGCAGCTTTCCGAGGTGCGTCTCCCCTTCCTGCGGCAGGCAGCGCGGCTGGCGGCCGCGCGAGCAGCTCCCAGCTCTCTTCTTCGGGCGGCTTGATGAGATTTGCCAAGTACCTCTTCAGGCTGGCGGAAAGATGACAGCAACCGGTGTTAAGTGCTCTCAGCACCTCCCTGCATCGGGGTTCCGCTCGCCGAGCAAACGGTTTTGAAGGCAGCCCCTTCCTCCTCCGCTTGGAGAGCACAAAAGCGTTCGGCTGCAAGGAAAAGCAGAGACAAAAAGCCCGACGGCTGTAATTGGGTACAAGTGCAGACTTCAGGGTAAAGGGCAACCGGCAAAACCCACAGACGATTTGATTTCCTGGCAGGCGGGCTCGCGAGCAGAGGATGGGCAATTTGGTCTTGGAAATACAACCCGCAACCCATTTGGGGAAAAAGGAAAGCCACCTCGAATCCTGACTGCCTCCCCACCGCTGTTTGTGCGTGCAGAGCACGGCGGCACAGCCAGCTCACTCCGGGAGGGAGGAAAACGGGATGAAAACCTCTTAAAAACAATCACGAGTACAAGCGGATGCTGCTGGAGCGGCCCTGTCCCTAGCAAACGCGCTCTCTGTCTCGATGACAGCGCAATTCCACGCTCACGGCAGCAACCAGGAACGGGCAAAGCAGCAGCCGCCGCCAGGTTGTTGAAAAACAACTAAACACCAGCACCTTCCATTTTTCAAAGCGTTTATCCTTGGGCGAGTTGAAAGCCTGTGTCGCTATTCTTACCGAACGTGGAGATTTACAAGAAAACACAGCCGTCTTCAGATCTCTGAAGGATTCACAATGGTATCAAAGAGTTTTGCGCTGCTTTTAATGGAGAAACCACCTACAAGGCATATGTTTTTTGACAACGGTCACCGGAAAGAGCTCTTGCCATAAATGCTTTCTTATTAACATAGTCGCGTGCCGGAAGTTTAATTACAGAAACTATCAATGCAACAGGAGATAAACACTTTGCTTTTGAAGGGAATTAATTTATTTGGAGATCTACATCACACAGGCACGCTGCTGGAGATCCAAGCACTGCCTGACCTCAATATCATTAAATCGTGCTCCAGGGAGCTCTCTTGGATTTTAAATACTTATTTTAAGAACAAACTTCCTCCTTGTGAAATAAAGCCAGGCTTAAGCATCGGTGATGCCCCAAAAAGTCACCCGCACCAGTTTTTCTACGTGTTTTCTCGGAAAACAAACAGGCAACAGACATCAAACAGGCAACTGCGTGATGTTTTGGTTACCAATGGGGAAAGGAGGCAGAAGGACCCCGGTTTCCCCCCAAAGGGAGGGCAGGCAATACGTGTAGAAAAAGCTGCAGGGAAACGCCACGGTTCCCGGCTGCAGCGTGCCGTCGAGGAGTGATGAGGCATCCCTGCCTGGAGTTCCCGGGTTCCTGTTCAAAACCTGTGTCCTATAAAAACACATTTCACCGATGAGCGGACCCCGTTGTTGCCGCTTCAGGAGAAGGTCAGCTGCCCAGATGTCGCGTAGTAGCCAGTGGCATCCGAGGAGAACCTCTGGGAAAGACGCACCGAGTCCAGCTGCGCCTCTCCGAAGTAGAAGTTCTCGAAGAGCTGAAAGAAAAGAGAAGGGAAAAAAAAAAACCCACAACATTTGAGGAGCACCTAGAGAAACGCAGCCTACAGCTGGCTCACAGATCTGTCGCAAATGCTGGCCCGGCGAAAAGCCTCTGCTCATAGACCTGCTTTGCTTTTAATGAAACGATTCTTAAAAAGATTTTTTTTCCCCCTAGAGACTGCATTTAGCCTTTAAAGCAAACAGGGTATGAAACCATCACCTCTGGTTATCTACAGCAGCAACTGCTCAAACCTTCCCAACCTTGCTTTCTGACTGCCTCTCATTTAAGGGAGCTTCACCACCCCAAAAGGCCACCACCTCGGGGCGGCTCTCGAGGTCGCAGGCTCTGCAGGAGCAAGGATTGAGGCCAGGATGTTTTTACCAATCCAGGCCACAGGACGTACGCCTTACAGTTATGGCTCAGTCCTAATTCAAACTAGCAGGCTAGAGGCGCAAGGCTCTTCATCCCAGCGCTGACCCCGCTTTGTTCAACAAATCCTCCTTTGTTCAGCGAAGACTTGAGTGCAAATTAATGAAAGCAAGCCAACTCTGCGACCCGGAGGGCGTGTCTCTGCTGATTAATCCAATCTATGAAGCAGACCAAAAAAATGACATCAGAATTTCTTATGGGGAAGATCAGCAATATTGCTGGAAAGGCATCGTGTCCAAGCGTAAAGTGCTTCTCCCGTTCCATTAAGACGCAGGAAATTGCTCTACCTGGAAACATCAGTCGTGCCTTAGGACAAGCTCTTCAGTGGAGACGCTAATTTCAAAACTCTGCTTAACGGGAGCGCTGTGAGTCACTGAGGGCCTGAGCAGTGACATATCCCCACTGAAACGTCCATTCCTTCTGTCTCCTATTGAATTTTCTATCTGTCCCTGCAGGCACTGGCTCAAGACAGTCGCACACCCCTTTATCGCCATTACAGAAAGCAGAAACGCTAACGGCCTGGGAAAGCCGATGCATTAATTACAACACGTCCTCCTAGAGCCAATGGTGCATCAATTCCTCCATACAGCGAAAGATCGAAACCCCAAATACCTAGTTAGCATCTGAAAGGCTGCACTTGCTTCCTCCAAAAAGGCATTTGGCTCTGCCTGGCACTGATCTGGGCAGGACTATTCTTTTGTTGGTTCTCCCAAGGGTATTCTACTTTGCAAACATCCCTTTCTGCAAGGGGACCAGCTATGTTGCTTTCCCGACAATTCCTGGTTTTGCTGTCACTCCACAGAGGAAAAGTGCCTTAGGGAAAGTGATTCCCTGCCCATCTTCAGGGCAGGGCAAGCAGGGCTTGGGCCGGGAAGCACTGCCGAGGTACGCGGGCAACAGAGTGGATGCCAGGCACCGTGATGAATCCAACCCCTGCTCCGGACTGTCAGCTCACCCAGACAACGCTCTGCTCGGGATTTGGCTGAGGCCAGCAATTCCCCATCGACACACGACAGTCAGAAAGGCATCTCTGAAGAGAAGGGGTATTTATGCGTGCCTAGCCAGCTCACAGCGATTGCTAAACCCCTGCTTCAGTTTGAAAGGGCTGCAGCTGCAGTCAGACGTGCTGCGGAGTTCTTGCTGCCAGCAGCCCACCTGCCAGGGACCACTTCCTCCTCCTCCTCCTCCTCCTCCCCAGACCTGCCTGCGTGGCAGCCGACCCTCAAGCTGCTTCTGCAAAAAGCATCTGGGTTAGCGCAAACGCCACGAAGAACTGGGTTTCTCTGCACCAGACCGTTTATAGTCACAGTGTGCCTGCCTAGGAGAGGCAGCGGGCAGCCTCCGGCTCACCTGCACCTCATCCTGCCTTTGGGGTGATGCTTGTCCCTTAAGACCCGGAGCACAAGGACATACTTTGCACAGGGCCCGAAGTAATTCGCTGCTAATCACTCAGACTCAAATTAAGCCGCAACTTGCTGCCAGTTCTTCCGAGCGCGTACTCAGCAGGAGCCAGGCGCCCCGCCACAGGGGTCACGCAGGTCCTCATCCCAGCAAGGGGCCCCGCCGCAGCGGCCTAGCTTCGGGGGACACTGTGCATGCGGCTCCGTGCCACCGCTGCCCTAAAGCGGGGCACCTTGTTCAAAAGAAGTTGTGCTAAGAGAGCATCTCAAACGGGGAAAGGAGGAAAAGAGAGAAGAGAAATGACTACAGCCACACAAACTCCATTTTATACAATTAAAGATTTATACAATTAAAGATTAATTATGTTCCCAAAAGCCTGCGTAGTTCATGTTAGAGGACTTAGGATAAAATGTCTCATTAATAAGAGATGGTAGTAAAAAGGGGTTGGGCTCCTTTCTCTCTTTGTTTTGGCTGATCTGAGAAGGAAGGATGATTTCCAGCTCTCCAGGGCTTGCTGCAGTGCTTGCCGCCAGCATGCCCACTCACCCCAAATCTCAACACCCCTCTCTGTCAAAACGGTTGTTCGTATTGACACTCCTTTCCTTCACAGAGCACTCTCCACCCAGGAAAAATGGAAATCATTTCTCTTCATTCCTAACGGAGGAAGCTGTAGGTGCGCTGTAAGCAAGGAGATACTAGGGTTTGAGAAGGATTTTTTTTTTTTTTTAAAGAGAAGCAGGACAAGATAGATGCATTTATTTCTGCAGAATGAAATCTTTGCAAACATGAAGAAAACAAACAAAATGCTGGGATGTGCCGGTCCCATCAGCAGCCCTGGAAGTCAAATCTTGACACAAAACAGCCAAAGGCAGAGCCTTTCAAATATTTGTTTATATTATCTCTGCACATCGCAACCTGTTTTTCCTACAAAACACATGTACTTCAAAGCAAAAATTAGTTAATGAGACGAAGCCCCCTGCCTCACACAGCCTCAGGCACATCGGACCAGAAGGACAATCAGAAAGTCCCAGAAGACACTGTCCAAGTCAAGGGCCCTCCATTTGTACGCTGCTAAAAGAGAAGCAAAAACCTTGTACCGAAGCACTTTGTATTCCCTTGGCTTTTTTAAGACCTACCACCTCTCGCATGTCCGAGCGTGTATGTGTTTCCCAGGGAGAAAGCTGCTAGAACTATTGATTTTTGGTAATGTAGCTGTACTTTCTGAGAGTAAACATGCTACAAGATTTAGAGGACAACCACAGATATTTTTTTCTGCTCTTGTTTCAAGCCGGCTTCTCACCGACGCTTCTTTGCTCCCCGAGGCTTCCCACAAAGGAAGCCACCGGACACCAGGCGTGGGGATGACAGCTGAGCCACTGTACGGCCAAGATCTGCCTAGGGCAGTGGGAAGGGAGGCCCCTCAAATATGATCCTCTGAGACCCCCCGAAACACCAGGAGCTGGCTCCCCATCATGAAAGCATCCCGCACTCGGGTCCCTGGGGGCTCGGGAAGAGATTCCAGAAGGCCAAGCCTCCACTTTTGACTTTCACTTCTATTTATCTTGGGGAAAAGCCAAGCAGAGCTCAACAAGATATTTTTATCTCCCCCCTCTCCCCAGCCACCACGGAAACGCTCTGGTTTCGGAGGAGGCCTGTAGCACAGCTGATGAAATGCCTCCTATAAAAGCATTTTAGCATTTATTTTTTTTTATTCTGTGTCAGGAAAGAAGATACCTGGAGGTTGTTATGCTTCACGCGCAAATGTTGATAATCCTAAGACTTGCCTAGTCCCCCCCTCCTGTCCCTTCCCATGGGTGCCAAGGGCCCACCTTTCCCCAAAAAGGCTGCAGGGAATACGAGGAGGTGTGGATCGGGAGCAGCTAGGAGGGAAGCAGGGGGAGAAAAAACGCAATCGCCCGCACAGTTACCGAAAGCTGTGTCATTTGAGCGGAGGGGGAAGTGAGGCTAAGCAAAAGCACAGTAATTCTATAAATCCAAACACGCTGAAGGATTTACGTCCTCGCTGCCTAAAGAATAAATAAGAGGTTGGGGGTTGGGATTTTTTTTTTTTTTTTTTTTAATATTATAATTGAAAATGAACCTGATGGAGGTAAAGGTCAGCTTAGGAAGTCAATACTACGCACGCCGTGCAAGCTACTAACTCCCATCAAGGGAACAGCACTTACCAGACTAAGTGCCCTCTGTCTCCCTACTGCCTTCCCAAATTAAATTAGAAGTGAATAAGGAAAGAGCGTTGTTAACTTTTAACCCCAGGCCCAGCACCTTTAAGCAAATGTGCCAGAGATGTGACCTGCCTTTCGAACCACAGCCAAAGGCTCAGCAACTGCTCAGCAAGGGTGCCTAGAAGGACACGGCATCTCCCACGGGGAGGGAGCGGGTGCCTGGAGAGCGGCACAGCATCCTCCCGGGAGCAGCATCCCAGGACCCACAGGGGAAGGCAGGGACTTGCAGCCGCACCGCCTTCCCCAAAAGCCACAAGCCCCCAAGAAAGGGAGCGTACCGGTCCGTGGATAACCTGTATTTCACACGTCAGCCTGCAAACTAACCATAGGCCCACGTGTGCAGGCGCTCCTCCTTCTCCCTCTCCCTTCTGGGGGGCTGGGTTCAAGGACACAGCCGCACAGGTAATGATCAAAGGCAGGCAGTCCTGCGGCAGCTCCCAGAAAGCAAGCTTTTCTCCATTTCTGCCCCTAAAGTCACTTATGCTGAGTCAGAATAAGCCAGCAGCACGCCTGTCATTTCTAACGCCCCAACTTCTCTCATTTAAGACAGTCCGGTTCAGTTGTTGGAAACCCTTGCTACTCCGAGGTCTATTTCCCTCTACTACCCACAAATTACACAGCAGGGCTCCCTTGGGGTGCAACAATCATTTTCTGAAGGAAGACAGATGCTGACGACTTGTTTTGGGAGAGAAAGAATCACACATCAAACCACTCGCTCCTTGCAAACCTTAGCCAAAAATGCTAGCACAAACTTCAGCCCCCAAACCACGACGACTGCCTTATCAAAGGCAGAGCAACAGATCAAACCCAGGATGCCTCTTTTCTGCATTTTTTACCCCCCTTTTGCCTAAGCCTGTAAAGTAGGTTTTACCGAAGCACTGTAGAAACAAATGCAAAGGAGGGCGATTCCTCGATGAAGCAG